ATACTTAAATTCATTCGTATTATCAAATTTAACTAAGTTACGTACAAAATAAGAAAACAATTCTAATGGAATATCAAAAAATAGGTCTATTCGCCCAAAGTTGAAAAGCAAGTTGCCTCTTAAAGTATGCGATCCTAGACTGTGTTAGAGTATCCAATGCGGACCCGGTTACATCGTACTCAAAATACTTGACGCAGAAAATCCCACAGTCACCACCACCAAGCTGCTGTGGTGCTGACATAACTCGTCGAATCCGCCATGGTTGGATCGGTAGATTGGGTCAGACTTTCATAACATCACATTTGAAGAGCATTACTGGGATGATGGTGCGCATTACCTTCAAATGATCCTCCATAGCATGATCCGTGGTCATTGAAGTCAAGGAGTCCCATACTACGATCTCACCTTTCTCGAGGTCGATACATACCATTACCCAGTGTTTGCCCCTGATGTTAAATGAGAGATATATGGCGTCCACTTCCATCCACCTCAAAGGGTAGTCCGTATGAGTGCCGTCAGTATAACCCATGATGCTCTTGTCCCTCCTGTCCCAATGGTACTCGGCCGCTACTTTTGAAGGCAATGAACTACAAGATTGCATGCATGCATATAGACCGTCCTTATGTCTGAAGTAGTTCTGTAACGTCAAACTTAACCCAATGAGTCATCAACCTATGCGCTATGACCAATTTGAAATTAGTGGATAGGCATGAACACACGTACCGCAAGAACTAGATCGCCAGTTGTGAACTTCCGAGAACACAGGTCAGGCTGCTGCTCAAGCTTCTTCCGCACTAACATGAACAGCTCATCGACGACCTATGAATAGTACCCAATTTATAAACATGAACGTATACATATTTACTACATTTAGTGTGGTTAATGACCACTTACCTCGGCTGTGCACCAGTTATTTGGCCTTAATAGGTTGCGGAACCAGGCCTTATTCCTGATGGAGTATGCGGTCTTTCACGTTGAACGTTTGTCATGGTCATTTAGCCAGACCTGAAATTTGTCATCCTCCTCTTTCGGAATATCCACAACTGGATTGTATTGTATGACCTTATGTCGTTTTCCGTCCACCTTCACTTCAACCAACGCACGCAACTTCCATGGTACTCTCCTTTCCCGTTGTGGTCGCTGAATTTTGGGACGTGGCAATGGTTGTGATATGAGACGTACTTCGTCTGAGTCTACATGTTGTGATTGGTCTGGTACGACCTCGTTTGTTGCCGATGCACTATCGACATATTGGGACTGAAAGTAAACGAGTTAAAACCTCGACAGATTGACAAAATGAAGTATATGATGTACAGTTCGATACCTCTGGCGTCGGTGTCTGTAACTGGTTCGAGTCTGACTCAACCTCTTCCACGTTTCGAACCCCTGCGTCATCTCCAATGTTGACCTTCAGTACTTCGTTAACCTCTGGTTCTTTTGGGACATCAAATGCATTTTGGACCTGGTGAACCTCTGGTTCTTTCGGGTCATCAGATGCATTTTGGACTTGGTGAACCTCTACCATGTCGACGTCCATGTGGCCTGCTCCACCAGCATGACCGCCTACTTTGGCTCTTCGCATTTCAGCAGGATCGACTAGTTGACCCTGTACATCAAATGACATATCACACCATCCAAATTTTAAAAAACATACGGAATACAAAATTTAATAAACTTGTCTACCTACCTTGGCAAGCCGTCGCAAATACTTTCGTATGGACTTTAACTCACCTTCCACACCCTTGAGCCTGTTTTCCACGGCATCGATACACATGTCCAACCTTCCTAACCGCTTATACACCTTCTTTTTTATCTTCTTCTTCTTCTTCTTTCTTCTTATTTGTGCCCTCTCTGTCTTCAATATCATCGACCGGTGGACATTCGATCACATCGTCGTGGCCCTCGCATGGGGGTCGCGGACTTTGGAGCCCTTCTTCATCATTTTCCACATCATTGGATTCTGGTGGTTCGAATGTCCTATTAAAAAATATCGTCTCTGATTCAGTTTATTCCAAGCTCTTTGCTGTGGCCTGCACGAAATATGATATCACTGAGGTGTGGTTCGAAAACAAATGCATGATAAAGTCAATCACTTACTGTTGTTGACTGGAATATGTCTCTTTCCAGCATCAGCGATCCTATCGAACGAACACACCTCCACCGGAGCATGCGGGGTACCATGTCATCATTAACTTTTATAGCAACTCGTCCATCCAGGGAAGATATCGTCTCATACCCCCACACCTATATAAATTATAGAGAATGTTAGCAATCATTTGTGGGTCCAAATAAATATGGTAATTATATGATATTTATTTACCTGAAACACCCACGGGAAACCATACAGACTGTACGCTTTCCTCAACCTCCCATCATCTGTCTTACTCGTCAGTGCTCATTGAAGACTTCTTATTGTCTTCTCAAACGATATGGATCCCCAGTCATAATTGCAGCAAACTTCCCCATCATCTACTATTCCTAGCAAACTACTGTCAAACTTCAAACTTCTCTCCCGTCCATGAAGTACTAGTTCCACAAAGTACACAATTGAGACCTTCACCCCGTCCCAATCATCATCAAACCGTAACATTTTGTACTTCTTCTCCAAATTGGCCAAGGTCAGGTTTACGTCATCATCGAAGTACAAGGTTTCAAGCCTAGCAGGAAACCTGTCTTTCCTAACGTGTGCTCTCGAATATTTTAGATCGCTTATGAGGTCAAATTCTCTCCGACCGAATGACACCTTACTCCCCAACAAGTTGAAACTAATGGTGTCCGGACTACTATTTTCTACCAATACCTCCCTAAGTAACAAGCTATGTATTAACGGCCCGTTAAATACTAGATCCACATCAATGAGATAGCCAAATAGTCTTCCTAAAAAGACGAAGCTGACGGGGGGTAAGTTTCTCTTTAATATCCTGGGCTGTTTTTGCTAGGTGCGATAGACAAGACACTTGGGACGAGGCATACATCGCGGGAGGGACCTTCGGTACCATTTCCATTTCCTATAAGTAAATGCAAACAAACATGCACACTGAGATTCAAACAAACAAAGTTCAAATAACGAACATGCACTCTCTGTTATTTTTCTCGGGTTCGACCTCGGGCGAGG